CGAAAGCTGTTTTTGGGATGTCCTCTGGGTTCATTTTGACATGCCAATAGCCTGATGTGATATCCAATGTCAAAAAATATTTTTATTTTCCCAGGTAGTCTAGAACATCGTCTATACGCGGAATAGGTTGGTAGTCAGGCACAATGACAGAGTTAAGTTTTCAATAATCAATGCATAAACGTGTGCGTCCTTCACCTTTTTTCTCTGCAAGAATGACTGGAGCCGCGTATGGGGAAAAAGATGGACGCACTACACCTTGCTTGAGAATTAAGTCCACTTGCTTGGCAATTTCCTCTTTGTCTGCCAGGGAGCATCGATATGGTGGTCTGTGGATAGGCACGTTGTTGCTGAGGGCAATGCAGTGTCGTTCCTCCACGATACATCCGAAGTCCATCTGAGACTTTGAGAAAATGTCTTCGTAATTGTGAAGCACCTTTCTCAAAGCAGCTTGTTGCGATGGTGGAAGGTGCGTGACATCAACGGCTTGGAGAGGGGTTGTATCGGCGCTGAAGACACACTTTTGTGTTTGAAAGGAATTCTGCAAAGCTTTGTTGTCTTGAAACAAAGTCATTGTGTTTAAATCCAGTGACAGGTTGAAAAAGGAGGCGTTGTCCAAGCCTAGCAAGAATTCAGTCTTCATGCCTGGTAGAACGTGTGCTTGGACTGCCCGCTTTAACTTCCCTATTTCCAACTGTATGTGTACGCGGTCCAATGTTTTTGTGGTTGAAGTGACTTGTTGGACACTAATGCATGAATCCTTGAGCAACTGCAGCTTGAGTTTTTTGAGCACAACTTCATTGATACAGGTAATAGTCGCTCCTGTATCCAGAGTTGCGTTCACCATGTGTCCGTTTACAAGTGCTCCGAAACGTATTAATGAGCCTTTGGGCCGCCCTCTTCGTTTCCCTGGTTGTCAGTTAGAGCAGACACCATTTCACGACGAGGGCACTCATTGTGCCAGTGAAACTGATTCGGCAAACCAGTAGATGCACAATGTCGGCACTCACTGCGAGGGGTGCGCATCAATCCTGCAGGGATCCATGGTCGCGTAGAATGAGGCTCTCGACGCATGAGCTGCCGTTTTGACGAGTGTTGGGAAGCATCTCCGTGGACAGTCTTCCGCTTGAAGCGCAGCAGCAAGCCACTTGGCTGGGGTGGTGAGCGTCAATCCAGCGAGGCGCCTTTCGATCTCTTCAGGTACACCATCAGTCAATCCTGATACTATGTGAACGTCTTTTAAGTCTGCGAGGCGACCAAGGTGTGTCTTCTCTTCGTAGTAGTGCCTGATGCGCTGTTCTCTTTTGAGTCTGCAGTGTATGAATTGGCGGATTGGGTCGCTAACAGGTGCAGAAAATTGTGATATCATGCTTGTTTTGATGCCTTCCCACGTATCTTCTGCGTCGAAAATCTCAGTGAGGTACCAGCGGAATGCCTCACCTTCCAGGTACTCGCTGATGTAGTTGATGCGATCTCGTTCGGAGCAGCTGACGAACGTTGCTCGCCTTCGTTTCGAAGAGGTGCAACCACTTGTCAACAGGGACGTCGTCTTCAGCTCCGGTGTATTTCGGCAGGCTGATCATCTTCTTTGATGGGCTCGTGATGTTGCTGCGGTAGATCCTGTCGACTTAGTGTAACGGATGAGACATGGCGTCAGTCAGAACACCAGTTTATTCTGACCCTTCGTCTTCCTCATCTTCCTTTCCCACATTCACCTGTGAAGCGTCATATATATATATATATATATATATATATATATATATATATATATATATATATATATATATATATATATATATATATATATATATATCTTGAAAGTCTTCCTGGATTCGGGTCGAGTTATAAGTCACCAGATGAAGCGAACGAGCAAACGAAAAACGATGCTTTATTGCCAACGTTACGGCCGGGGACCGGCCTTTGTCAGGGCATATAATATATATTGTAGCGTAAAGTTCTGGTCGCTACTTGGTCGGCGCCGGAGAGATGATACGTACACACAGCAGATCCATAGAGTTGCTCCTAAACCGATTTATTTGGCTTGGTGTTCATAATAGACGTCGTACACACTTGTACGCTGCATAACTCTAACAACTCGGAGCAGCACCCGCTGCAACCTGCTCTCGTGGCGTCTCCGGTGCGACTCTCTCTCGGCTCCCCTCGAAGCGTCCCGAAGTGACCCCCGAGACAAACAAAAAGGACCACTCAGAAGTGTCCGTTCACCACACTCAATCGGGTGTCACGAATTCAAACAGGTACACCCAAAAGCGGGCGGTCTCCACCGAGTTTGAACTCGATGACCGCCGTCCGCCTAAACACAAAATGATTTAAACTAAAGTAAAAACATACAACAAGCTACCGCGACATCCGTTAGGCTTCTACCGTACAACTCACCCCGCATACCTTCAGGCGCCGCGGAGGCAAAGCCGTCTGCGGTCCCCTAAATTGGAAACAGACCCTCGCAGGAAGGAAGATAACGCACTCGTACAACAAAGCCGGTGAGCCACTCAAGGACACCACCGCAAACCCCGCTCCTGGGCAGACCCGCGACATTGGAACGAGCCCAAAGTTGAAAGAAAATAGCTACATCTATATCTACGCGACACCTCCCCCATATGAACTAAGAGTGTCCCCACTCTGGATGAGCTGCAAGCAAACTAAGAATCCACAACCAAGGACACAACTTGCTTCGCGCCCTCCAAAAAGAAAGAACATTTCACGTACATTTAAAAGAAAATGACACATAACTGTAATATGCGAAAAAGGCGACCCGCGACCGAATAAATGTACAAAACATTTTACATCTGCAAGACACTAAAACACTAATACATGATGGCGAAACACACATGCTCAAAATAAAACTTGTTTTAAAACAGTGAAACAAAGAAAATACAAATTGCTAACTACAGTTCTGACGCACACATCTCAGTACGAAAGCACACACGGAGACACACAGAGTTACAAAGGGAGTCCTTTAACTCACTCACTCAACATCACTGGCTGTGTAGTAAATCTCGGTGTCACTGTCATAAGCCCCGAGTCTTTTCGGTTTGGTGTCGGATGACTGGTCCCTTGCGTCCGCGGATCAAAGTAGACCTCGGTGTCGCTAGTCGAATGTTCACTTTGACCGTGATCACTCGCGGGCGGAACTGCGGCACCACGCTGCGGCACTGTGGTGTCAACACGGACCGAACACTCGCGTTCGCTCTCACTGTCGTCATCCGCGTCGTCGTCGAGACATGCACGGGGGCGACACAGTTTCAAACGCGCTAGGGGGGCGCTCCGGTCGCCGAGCTGAGCAGACGTGCTCCGAATGAGCTCCGCAGTTTTCGCTAATTGTGCCTTCTTAATTGCTTCCAATCGATTGGAAATCATCACTGCAGTGTTCGTGAACATCCCTGGACTCGATTGATACTATTTTTGGTCCGGCCAACCGGACTTTTCGTCAATTTTTGACGTTTTCTTCACTTGTGCGATGCTAGGCCTAGCGGACCACGCCTAGGCTTAGCAGGAGTACGGCCGGGGCGCGCAGCTGCGTCGGCCGCCCGGCCCGGCTCGACGCTCGACTCCTCATTGCCGAAGATGGCCTCGGCCTCATCGCAGCTCAACGCCGTTTCCCACAACCGTTTCGCGGCCCTTGCTACGAAAGACATGGACTTTTGTGCTGGCGGCAACGACACTACAACCACCGACACGATCAACGACCAAGAGGTGCTACGCAGCACCGGCCGCACCGCAGTCGCGGTGCGCGGCAACGCCTTACACCCAAGCGACATCGCGGGATGGGAAATCTCCGGAAAACAAGTAAGCCAACGACTTAATAAGCCCCAGCTTAACGAAGTTACCCAAAGCAGCAAGCCAACTCCGCAATTTAGTGAAGCTCAAGCAAAACGCATGGTAGCGAGAATCACTAAAGCGTCCCGCATGCCGCTGAATTTGCCGTGGGAAGAGCAGAAGATTGTAATACGACCGAGAGGAGGGCTATTCCTAGCAAAACTGGAAGCTGACATCGTAATGTCCGCAGTCATAACGGCAGCCAACGTTCCCAAGACCGCAGCGAAAGGAGATACGATCTGTAGTAATCCCACGCAGAACATCATTGTGATCAGCACGCCCCATGAAGAACGAGCACGTTACTACGCAAGCGTACGCTCCCTGTACATTGGGGGCCGTAGCTACGAAACGCATGCCTACTGCACCGCGCCTCACGGCACAGTGAAAGGAGTAATCCGTGGCATCGCAATAGAGAACACTGCCGAAGATCTGCACGAGAATATCGTTAACCAAGCAAACTTTCAGGCCCTCGAAACGCACAGGATTGGAAACACTACCTCGATCGTCATTTTGTTCGCAGGAACAAAGGTTCCCAACTACATAAAGTATGGCTCCATTATAGTAAAGTGTGGATTATACAGACAACACCACAACGTATGCAAGACATGCGGCAATATCGGCCATCGAGCCGATGTATGCCCCACGCCGGAAACCAAGATCTGCTTTGCGTGTGGCGCGCCTAACCCGACGGCAAACCACGCGGCGCGGTGCAAGCCACGTTGCAAACTGTGTAACGGAGCCCACGCCACGGGCACGGAAGGCTGTACGAACAAGTACAAGGTGCTCTTCGTAGTTACTCAGCGCAGATGGGAGCGGCGTCAACGTTTTCGTCGCAAGACTTCCCGCAGCTGCCACCGCAACAACAGAACGAAGCGCATCTATCAAAGAGAGGACGCAGCCGCTCGAGGAAGCGGGACAAAAGCAGGAGACAATCGGCGAGCCGCGGCAGAAGCACCGACGGCAAGCGCAGCGAAAACATTAATTACAACCGCAACCAGCAGTGACCGGGCAATGTGATAAATGGGGCCCAGGCAGTCAACCCGCAAGCGGCGAACCGCAATCCGCTCAACCACGTAGCTGAAGCAAAGGACAACACCATTCAGTCACTACGCAATGAAAATGACCAGCTCAAGTGATTCATCGCTGAACAGAGAGCTCAAATGCAAGAGATGAACGTTAAGTTGAACCAACTCATCAACGCACAGCAGCAGCAGCAACAACAGGTGACTCCGCCACCGCCACTGTCGCCACCGCAGAGTCAACCAAGACCCCCAACGCCAACGGAAAACAACACAAACTCAGCCATGGAGGTACAAGTCCCAGTTACTACGGAAGCTAACAGCGCAGAACCCGAAACGATCGACGTTGCTAGGACAAGTGAACCGGCACCCAAGAAGCGAGCGCTCGAATACGCACGTGAACGAAGAGTCAACGCTAGGCGCCTAGAAGAACGTCAAGATCGACTAGAACAGACCATGAAAGCCAACTACGAAACCCTGAGCCAAGTCATCAAAGCTACTAACGATCGCCTCGATGCTACCAACGCACGCCTCGACACATTGGTGACACCCATACATGGCATGTAGTCTACCATGCAAGGAATACAGACTAAGTTGGATGCACTAATACACGCGCTGACGGCGTCAGGACTAATGCCACAACAGGCCTTCACCCAACCGCAATAATGGACGGGACAACGGCAACAGGCACCGCTAACCACAGAAACAGAGCACAGACACAACAGCATCATCTCCTTGTTTCAGAAGGACCAGGGAGACCGCAGAACGTGACTAGCCAGGGTCACGCAGAGCGTGACCCTGGCTACTTCTTCTTTCTCGCCTCCGAGCTCCATCTTCAATCTGTTTTCTACACTCCTCATATGGCAATGGAATCCCAACGGCATACAGGGGAGAAAAGCATCGTTACAACAGTACATAAAACAAAGCACCAAGAGACCCGACGTTATAATACTACAAGAGACGCACAGTGAAACCCCACCGACGTTACCGGGGTACAGATCCTTTGCGAAGCCCCCCAGCGCACGAACAGTTGGGAAAGGCGCAGGGCAGGGGGTCTGCACCTTTGTAAAGAAGAATCTAACTTCAATAGATCACGAGCCGCTACCCAACGGCGCCATCGAGCACAGCACGGTTGAAATCGTCACCGGGAAGCGCAAGCGCCGTGAAATCACTTTTATAATCAACGTGTACAGCAATCCCAAGCACTTCCAGCAAAAATTCCGCACCCTTGTGCACAAAGCGCAACTGCTCGCGGGCTCCAACGTAACCCTACTGTGTGGAGACTTCAACGCTCAACATACGGCATGGGGGTATCCATACACGACAGCGAAGGGCCACAGTCTCTACGACGAAACAATGGACGCAGGTTACCAATTGCTAAACGACCCCAACGCACCTACGAGAAACGGAACGTCGTCGCAGCGAGACACAAACCCGGACCTCGCTTTCATAAGCACGGCCTCAGCACTGCGTGGACTCACGTGGCGGAACACCGGGGAGACGTTGGGAAGTGACCACTGCATACTCAAAATTACAATACCCATCGCAGAGAACACGCAAAGAGCACAGCAACAGCAAATCGTCGACTGGCACGAGTACAGAAAGAAATTAGAAGACAACGTTACGGAAACCATTGAAAACATAGAAGCATGGACCAACATGTTGAACGCCACGACCAAAGACGCCACTCAGACGGTAGAAGCGGAGCCGGAGGCTACGATGCTGGACAGCAGACTAGCGCACCTCATGGAAGTCCGCAACTCGCTGATACGGCGCTGGAAACGTCAACGCCACAACAGAAAGCTACGCAAACGTATAGCACAACTCAACAGAGACTTCTAGCATCACAGCGCAGTCCTCTGCAGACAGCAGTGGCACGCGGTGTGTCAAGAAGCGGACGGTCAACTACACAAAGGCAAGACGTGGCGCCTGCTACGCCACTTGCTCAACGACCAGACAACCAAGGGAGCTCAGCATTACATGCTGAACAAGACAATTCACAAAGCCGTCAAAGAAATGGGAGAGGCTGAGGTGCAACGACGCCTTGACGCCAAGTATCTCCCCGTAACGCCAACGAACCCACTCCCCAGCTACGAAGGGGCAACCAACGAGAGACTAGATGCCGACATCGAAGAATGGGAAGTGCGAGCGGTTCTACAAACAATCAACTGTAAATCGGCATCCGTACCGGACCACGTCACCAACAAGGCATTGAGGAACTTGAACGACACGGCAATTGAAGCCCTTACCAAGTACTACAACCAGTGCTGGCGGACGGGCAAGCTACCGCAACAATGGAAGACCGCGAAAACGGTCCTGATCCCCAAACCGGGCAAACCACCCAGCATAGACAACCTGAGACCCATCTCTCTAACGTCGTGCGTGGGCAAGGTGCTTGAACACGTCCTACTCAACAGATGGCAACGTTATTTGAAAGAATCCAACATATATCCACATACAATGCTGGGGTTCCGGGCCAAACTGTGTACCCAGGACGCCATGCTGTTGCTCAAGAACGAAATCGTGGACAGACACTTTCCCACGTTGGATAACAGAGCGGTGCTCGGACTGGATCTCCAGGGAGCATTCGACAACGTACACCACTCGGCCGTCCTTCGGCAGGTGTCCCACTTCAACATGGGGGAGAGGACGTTCGCTTACATCAAAGATTTCCTGACCAACCACACCACGCGGCTTGTGGCAGGAGAACTACAACTACCGCTCAAACAGCTGGGGAGCACGTGGACACCGCAGGGCTCGGTGATCTCCCCTCTGTTGTTCAACCTTGTCATGATAGGCGTTGCAAGAAGATTGGAACGCGTTAGAAACATCAAGTACACGATCTACGCGGACGACATCACGCTGTGGTCAACGGGAGGAAGCGACAGCCAGATCAAGCAAGGCAGCCCTCCAAGAAGCCGTCGCCGCTGTAGAAGAACACCTACGACCCACCGGACTCAAATGTTCACCAACCAAGTCGGAACTGCTAGTGATCTCACCGCGAAGTGCGCGACGCCCGACAACGCAGAACATCAACGCAGTAACCCAAGACGGAACGCCGATACCGCACGTGCAGACGCTCGGAGTTTTGGGACTGCACCTTCAGGACTTGAACCGCAACAACGTGACGGTACAGAAGCTCCACGCAAAGCTCTCGCTGGTCACCTGCCTACTCAAGAAGGTGGCCACGTGGTATCAGGGCATGCGAGAAGACAGTCTACTACGACTCACCCAGTCGTTTGCAGTCAGCCACATCTCTTACGTAGCGTCGTTCCACAATTGGAAAGCGGCGGAGAAGATCAAGATTGACGCGATGATCAGAAAGGCGTACAAGACGGCCCTGGGCTTATACCCCCACACCAACACGGAACGCATACTCGCGTTGGGCGTTCACAACACGCTGGAAGAAATTGCAGAAGCCCAGCGAACGGCGCAGTATCACCGCCTGTCCCAGACCAGGACGGGAAGAACGATACTACAGCGCATCGGAATCAACGCGCCAGCGACGACTACGGAGGTAGCAAAGCAGCTACTCCGGGACGTTCTCCAAAGACTGAGGGTTCCACCCTTACCGAAGCACATGCATCCACAAGTACACCAAGAAAGAAGAACGGCGAGAGCCACGGCCCTCACAAAAGGTCACGCCAACGATCTGCGCGCGTACTACGTGGACGTGGCGAAGTATCCCCACCGGCCAAACACGTACGCAGCAGCAGTCATCGCAGCAGACACTGGAGTACTCACAACGTCGGGAAGCATACGGTACAAGTCGCCCACGCAAGCCGAGGAGTTTGCAATCGCACTGGCACTAGTGATCCCGGATTGCCGCACGGTCCTCAGCGACTCGAAGGCGGCAATAGCCAACTTTGCTACAAACAACGTCCATGGAACCACTGTAAGAGTATGTTCAACTATAGCAAGACCGGAAACCAACATTACCGTCAAGTGGTTCCCTGCGCACGCCGAGGAGCTGGACGTGGGCCCGAACCGCAACGAGGAGGCAGATACGGAGGCACACGCGCTAACTAGCCGCGGGTCTCCGTCAACGCATTCCTCGGAGCCGCAACGACCCGAGGCCGAAGACGGAGAGTATTTTATCACAACCTACACCGACGTTCTGCAGTGGTACAGAACGAGTAGACGCCTCTACCCACCGCCTCACCGAGACCTAGAACGCAGAGAAGCAGCCACACTACGGCAGCTGCAAGTACAAGCAATATGGACTCCGGTCTGGGCAAAGCACGTTTGCCCGGAGGTTTACACCACTGATGTATGCCAACACTGCAAGAAAGCGCGAGCCACCCAGAGACACCTCCTTTGAGACTGTGCACCACCGCCGGGTAACCAAGAAGTAATGCCAACTGCCATAAGCAGCAAAATTATCAGCCGAGAGCCAGGCAATCAGAGACGTGGTCCAGCACGTGCTTAGCATCCTGGAACGCCAGCGGCCGAAAGCGGCGCCCCCACGGGTTTGACGCGAGTAGGTTGCTGCTCCGGGACGTCCGATCATGCTAGTGTCTCGCTTTAATCCCCCTACCCCTTCCCCCTTTATGCCGGATCGTCAATAAAGTTTTTTCACTCACTCAAACGCGCTACATTCACAATGTCCTTCTTCCTTCCGCTGCGGTCCACGACCTCCCAGTTGTTCTCCGCTACTTGTCGAAGGAGGCGAAATGGTCCATGGTAGTGGTGGAGGAGCTTTGTTGTTTTGCCCCTCCCTCGTGAGGGCGTCCACACGTAGACGAATTGCCCCGGTCGAAACACAGCACCCCGTCGTCGGACATCGTACGCTCTCTTGTTTTTTTGTTTGCTGGTCCCTCTCGCACTGAGCCACAAGCTCCCGAGCTTGGCGAAACCTGCGCGCCACTGCATATGTATTGAAGGCACCCTCATTGTCACGTTGCAGGTTGAGGCTCGCATCAATAGGCAAGGTTGGCTCGCGGCCATGCAACAAGAAAAATGGCGTGAAGCCGGTTGTCTCTTGCCGCGAAGAGTTGTAACCGAAGACGACATAAGGGAGGAATTCGTCCCAATCCCGGTGGTCTGTGGAAACATACATACTAAGCATGTCCGCAAGCGTACGGTTGAACCTCTCACACAGGCCATTCGTCTGCGGGTGGTAGGCGGTGGTTGTGACGTGGTTGCTCCCCATTGCTCGGAATACCTCTTCAATGAAGGTACTAATAAAATGCTTTCTCTGTCAGTGATTATCTTCGCCGGGGCTCCACGTCGTAGAACCACTTGCTCCACAAAAGCTTGAGCTGCCTCAGCGGCCGTTGCAGCGGGGCAGGCGACCGCTTCTACCCACTTTGTGTGATAGTCTTTCATCACAAGCACGTAGCGATGGCCGCGTTTACTCTTCACGAAGGGTCTAAGAAAATCCATGCCGATTTGCTCAAATGGCCGCCCCACGGGGGGTATAGGTTGAAGAAAACCGACAGGTAGCTGTTTTTCTCGAAATCGATTTCGCCATGGTTCCCAGGCTAAGATCGGATAAGCGTCGAGCTATTACTATTATAGGGCGCACAATGTCGCGAAGGGCAATATGGGAAGCTAGCCGGCGCCCTGTACGCCCTGCAAATAGGGTCCTTCTGGCGTGCAAAAACGGAGGAAGAATTATGACGCTCCTCGTGGCAATCGACAGCGGGCAACTTCGGAAGCTCAGAATAATTTGATAGTGGCAGCAGTGGTCGCGGATCCTTACCTCAGCGCCAAGAAAACGTCAGTATTAAAACAATCAAGAGAAGGCTTCACAAAGCCGGTATAGTGAGCTAAATATCGGCCTGAAAAGTTATGTTGGATGAACGACACAGAAATCATTGCCTTGAATTCGCGTCTGTGGTGGAATCCTGGAGCCCCGACAACTGGCGCGCGGTTGTCTTTACAGATGAGGCCTCTTTCTGCACCCGCTGGGAGCAGCAGAGAAAGGTGTGGCGCCCCCAGAACTACCTGTATGCATTCCTATAATTGTGTAACTGAACGCTGTGTAGCTTACTGCATATACTTCCCAGACCAGCACTGCTGAAAATGAAAGAGTTTTATGCAAACTCTCAAACTTACTATAAGCTGTGACCTGCTTTATATTGCGGATTTACTTCGTCATAGCGAGTAATACCACTGGCCTCCATTAAAAAGGCTGTATGATGCATCCCTGCTCTCTGATGTCAGCGCTTGTGAAGCCGCCCGAAGGTCCCTTCACTGTCCCGGAAGTTGGCGTCTTTTGGGCGTTTTGGGTGTGTAATCTGGTGGCAGTTGTTGTTATGGTAATATTTGTGTTTTCTTTTTCTAATATAACATTCTCGCGGTCATCCAACGCTACACAAAAAATGACAGATGCTATAGTGACGCCTTCCAAAACGGCGGGATGCTGTGATCTGCAACTAGTCGATGCAACAAACCATACGATTAGGCATCACTTGGAACGCTGACTAACTCTACACGAAAAATGACACGCCGTAGGGAAGCCGTTCGAATATGGCACAGTGCTGTTACGTACAACGTTACAATTGCTCATTAGTAAAGTGACAGAGAAAGAGATTGTCACGGCATTTTTTACAAAAAAAAAAGGAATGATTGCAAAGGCAGCCAGGAGCAAAGCAAAGGTTTGTCTTTTGTGAGTGATCCGGGAAAGAAAACAACGTTGAGATGACATCGTTTCGAAGATGAGTTTTTGGAACCGAGGGATAAAAACATCACTCTGCAAAATGATCACTGCAACGTCTGCTTCCTGGAGATGGCGTCCAGTTGTCCCTCTTTAAGTTACTGACCCACTTCTCGTATATTTGAGACCTCGAGCGTATGAAACTGCTCTGTCAAAAAAACGAAACGCCTTCAACGCGCCC